AGGTGAGACTAAGACTTGCAGGCAAAAGGTGGGCTGCCCGATGTCATGCCGTGGCAAGGTGAGACTCAGATTGGGTTTTCTGACGCCCAGACCAATCACGTACCACCTCACTAGTGATTTTCGAATGGGCTCCATGGAGGTCTAAGGGTCTTGCATTTCAGCGTCAGGGGCAGTGTGGAGGACTTCTGTAACTTGTGGGCCATCAAGCACCATTACCCCTTCCTGCGGTAACATTCCATCAATTGTTTTGGAGAATTATCTTTTGATAATTGAGGGTTTTTTTTTAATTTCTTTCTTTCTTTTTTTTTTTTTTTTTTGCTTAAGTGTGTATGGATAGCTTTTGTATGCAGAAAGAAATCCTTACATCTGCATTCATTTTCACTAACAGTCAACATAAAAAAATTTTGTAGTTGTAGATACAACTTATATATAAAGTAAATCCACTTATAAACCTAGTGGTTGCTAATTAGTACTCAGTTCATTTTTGAATGTAACATATTAAATTTCCCCAAGCTCTTAAGTACAGCTTACAAATTTAAGTCATATATTATGTTAAACATTTCACATTAAAGTCATGTAAATTGTATGTTCTCCTAAATAATTTAAGGTCTTTGTAAATGTGATTGCCTTAATTATCTGAAACTTTTCAACTTCAAATATTTAATATATCTGGTTTTCTAAAGTACTTTAAACAGAGAAGTGGAATTATAAATCTAATACACGACATTTTCTTAAGTACTTAAATGATTCTTAGAAATCTAATAATAAAGATTTGATGATTCAGATTTATTTAAATTGACAAAAACTGGTAAAAATTTATCAAATATTATACCTATTAAATTTAAAAATCACAAAAATCCCTTTAAATTAAAATTATGAGTTTAATATGCCAGATTTAATAGATTTAAAAAGAAGGCAACACACATTTTTCAGATGATTATATACTGCTCAAATTTTCCATTTTCTTTTTCATTTATTTTCCGCAGCTGTGGTCACCTGGATTTCCCCTTAATGTTTTAAATTTGTTATAGATATACTGATTCCAAGGATTTTATTATATCATTCTTTTTTCTCTGGTTATTTTTACATCTTTCTGGTGTTACTAAGTCTTTTATCATCTCTTTACTCAAAAAATTTCAGGTGATGATCAGAGATTCTGGACAGGGACCTGGAACCTACTGGTAATTTCCGGAATAACTACCTGAGCTGCCTGTTAATATACCCCACCTGTTCATATAGAAAAGAGGCTTTTCGAATCCTCACATTTTCTCACAAATGGTTTCATTTGGCCATTTGAAGCCATTTTATTTTTACCAGACTCTGACACAAATCTTACTGTAACTCCTTCCTAAATATAATTGCCTAATTATAAGCCTTACCCCACCCAGTTGCAATTAACCTCTGTTGTCAGCTCAAAGTTAATGAAATCTTCAGGACAGTGCCCACCTCTTACCTGTGCTATGGTTATAACTAATATCTTTACTACCTAGTTAATTTTGCACCTTTCTTATATAGATTGCTTCCTTATCTGTTGCCCAGATCACAGATTTATTGCTGTTCAGTTGGCCAGAATTACCTTTCTGGTGTTGCGTGTTATTGGGTTGGGATCATAAATCATGATATTCTGACCAGTGCATGGGCATGTGGCCAAAGTGGACTTGCTTCAGGACTTTTAATGTTGAGCAAAGGCAAATTAAAAACAACAAAAAAAAAATGAAAACACACACACACACACACACACACACACACACCAGAACTAGCAGGAGTGCCCTAAACAAGAAGTGGTTCCAGCCACTGAGATCTATTGCTACTGGTTCCCAGTTGAGTCTCCAGCCTTCCCTTCAGTCCTTTGAGACTTCAGATCCTCCCAATAAGTTACCCAGTCAGTTATTTTGCAACCCTAAACTCCAAGTGACCCAGGCAGCCTAGAGGATGCTGTACTGATGAAGAAGGGCTGTACTTAGGGGAGAAAGGGCAGGAGTCCTGACCCATGCCTCAGTCAGATCAGCCACACTGTTATCAGTCCTGTCAATTTCATTTGAAGAAGGTCTTAAAATCACTGTATTGCTACCAAGGTGTGAGATTATTACACCCATGACTGCTAAGGTCCAGAGAATTTTAAGGACAAACTGAAGGATAAGAAGTACTAAAGGACATATGCCTGAATAAAACAGAAAATGAGAAACTTGAGGCAGCTTTCAAAATTCATGGTGCATCAAAGAGGATAGAGAAATCAGGATATATTTCAATGTGAGAAGACTCAGTGCCTAAAAATTGAGGACTGAGTAATAAGGTCAAATAATAAGAGGTATGAATGGGGTGCCTGGGTGACTAAGTTGGTTAAATGTCTGCCTTCAGCTCAGGTCATGATCTCAGGGTCCTGGGATTGAGCAGTGAATTGGGCTCCCTGCTCAGCGGGGAGTCTGTGTCTCCCTCTTCCTCTGCACCACCCCCATCATTCGCCATTCGTATCTTCTCTCTCTCTTTCTCTCTCACCCTCTCTGTCTCAAATAAATAAGTAAAATCTTAAAAAAATATTAAGAGGTATGAAGAAAGAGCCAGGAAGTCCTTATTAAAGATACATAGGAAATGTGTGATCATTACGTCAAAGTCCCTAAGAAAAATATGCAGCAAAGACAGAACATGTTAGGAGTAGGACTTCCACAGAGAAACTGATTTAACTAAAAGTGAAAACTAAACCTCTCATACTTGATTTCTCAGCTTTTCCATAAACTAGAGCATGGGCACATGCTTTAGGTTCAACTAATCAGACACACAAACATAGAAACACAATTCAAGGATACAAAGGTACTGGCACTGTCGAAAATTCTTCCCAGAGGTGGCACAGCTGTTTCTAATGGCAGCAGAGCCAATGTGGCCAGTGGCCAGTGGCCAGTGGTAGGCGAGATGTGTGGAATCAACCAAAGAATCTAGGGTTCAGCTTGGGGGCTAGTGACAATTTCAATAAATTGGTCTTGGAGTAATTTCAACCATACGTCTGGCTATATGGCTCCCCTCTGTTTCTGCCTGTTTTCTGAGCTTGATTCTCCAGTTTTCACGAGGATTCTTTGATTCGTCCAACAGTAACTAATCCTTAAGGAAAAGATGGGGAAATCTAGTATTTTATACCTCGTGTAATTGGTTCTAGAAAAAAAAAACTGGCTAATATTAAGGGATGGAATTTGGGGAGCCTATGGCATGCAATGACTAAGTTAATCAAATTATCCCCTGTGGTCACTCTGGAATAATATGCCTATTAATGGCAAGGCTTTGGATGACCATGTGTCCTCCACTGCAAAAGAAGTTCTTCATGATCAGGTGAACAAAATGGCCAACTCTATGGATGTCAGTCATCCTCCTTCCTAACCACCCACATGTTTGTTCACTTGGGCCCATGAACAAAGAAAAATGGTGACAATGGCAGTTGCAACAATGTGAATTTCCTTTCACCTGCCCATCACTTTTGCTGAGTGCCCAAATTTGCCAGCAACCAAATCTGAGTCTCTGGGATATTAACATACCCCAAAAGAACTAGCTATCTTTGTGTAATTAGATTCCTTCCCTCATGTAGGGAGAAATATTTTGTTCTACTGAACTACAATTTGCCTCCTTTATCTACCATCCATTGACTTACTGAATGCCTTATTTACCACCATGATTTCACATGCAACATTGTTTCTCACCTAGGAAATTGCTTTGTAGTGAAAGAAATAATGTAATGCCTATGAAATTCATTAGTCTTATGATATATTCCATTATAAAGAAGCAACTACAAAATAGTGATAGAAGCTATTAATGATTTATTACCACAACAGCCAGAAGACAACGTCTTGTAAATTTAGGGTACATGCTCTCCTCTAACCTGGAGGTCAGTATTTGTCCTGTTTCTCCCATAGTCAGAATAGATGATGAAGGATAAAGGAGGTAGGTAGGAATGGCATCTCTTATTACATTTATTACCCACTCACAAAAAATGTTATTCTTTGTCTCCAAGCCTGGCACTGCTGCTGATACTGACTCTGGGATTCTGTGATTCTGTGTTGCTTGAACATCTATTGGCTTCTGGAAGTATGAGAATAGAGGCACATTATTGCAGAGCTTAGATCTTGTGATTCAAAGTGTCAGGGCCCAAGGGATCTTACACATATCAGGGGTAGTAAGAGTTGTCCTAGTTGAATTGGATGATGGGACTCCCAGGGGCACTGGGTGAACAACCATATGGTTGTGCAGAGTAACCAATCCTGACCATACAGGGGAAGTTGGGTTTGGCTATATAATACAGCTAGAAAGAAATAGGGACAGAATTTGAAGAATTCCCTGAGTACTCCCTAGGACCCCATGTCCTGGGGCAAAATTACAAGGAAAGTACAGTAACTTAATACAGCCAGATCCATCAGATGTCCTGCTTTTTTCAGAAGCACTTTGGGTCCCTCAATGGATAAAGAACTTTGGTCAGGGGATGTGTTGGCTGAAGACAAAGGATCATGGAAAGAATAGAAATCATATATGCTGGTACAGGTCTGTGACAGTTGCAGAAGTAAAAACTGACATTTAACCCTGTTTTCTATTATGTCATATTCTTTGAATAACACTTTTTAAAAGATGGGTCTTTGTGGTTAATTTACAGTTTAATCCATAAGTTACATGATATTGGGGAAAGACCATAACGAAGCCAGAGAGAAATTTGACTTTGAGCTAAAAAGAAAAAAGATTCAATTTTAGGTTGTTCCTTAGGGGATGAAGTAAGTGAGATTTTGGTTAGGGGGTAAATCAATTGCATTAAATTAGGCAAAAATATTTTTTAAGGATAAATATGGGAAGAAGAGTGTGTGTTAATATTATCCACCTAAAGGGATCAAATGGGTAGACATTTGCCACATATGTAGGTGTGTATGTGTGCGACAGGGGGTGACACAGTCTGTGAATATTCTTTCTATTGGTGAATAACTTTCCCAGTTCCCCTGATAATGGGCACAAATCTGTTCCCTCAGCTCTGCCAGTGAGAAGCACCTGTCCTAGACTCTGAAACAAGAGAAAGCTGCACAGAAAGCAGAGACAGTGGATAATTCTTCAGGAATGGTAAAGTTTTAAGCAACATGGTCTCCAGAGATAGCACTGGCACCAGACATGGCTTAATAAATCATATTATATTTTGATGAAGCCACAGTGACCACTGTTATTTCCACTTATTTCAGAAGCCAAAGAGCAAGAAAGCTTAAATAACAATCCAAAGGAGAAGAGGGGGATTTGGGGGAGACCCTCCTTTCAACCATTACTTGGAAGGTAAGAATCTCCATGTTTTACTCTACATCATGGTTCCTCTGTAAGAATTCTTCACTCTTCCCTATGCATGTATTTATTTTCCCATGAAATGAGAATATTTAAATCAGAGCCTGTTTTTCATTCTTTTAGTGCTGTAGTATATTAAGGAGCTCAGTATATGAAATTATCTTTCATATCTTCATGAAAAGAAAAACTTTAATTATATATTTATACACACACGCATATATATACATATATAACATAGGCTTCTGATGAGGCTCACCCTAATATTTACTTCAACTTTTGAAAAACATTGATTTTAAGCACTTAACTTATAATTTATAGTTAGCCTTATAGAACATATGATAATTAAGGAAACATTAAAAACATACAAATGGATTTTTTAAATTTTTTAAAGATTTTATTTATCAGACAGAGATCACAAGTAGGCAGAGAGGGAGGCAGAGAGAGAGGGGGAAGCAGGCTCCCTGCTGAGCAGAGAGAGAGAGGGGGAAGCAGGCTCCCCACTGAGCAGGGCTTCCCCGATGCAGGGCTCCATCCCAGGACCCTGAGATCATGACCCGAGCCGAAGGCAGAGGCTTTAACCCACTGAGCCATCCAGGCGCCCCATACAAATGGATTTAAATGTTTAAATTGTACAATAATTTTCATCTTCATATTACCACATATTATTCTAATTTTCAAGTAATTTTGTTTCTTGTTTTTACAATTGCAAATTCAGAGAAAAACAAGTGAGCAAAGAAGAGGAGGCCATAATTGCCCTACCTTGATAATCTCTGTTAATATATTCAGCAGCAGATGGGTAAGATTAGAAATTGTCAATCCATTTGGAAAGGTACAAATAAAAAGTGAAAGCCTCCCTTCCACAGGAATGCCATCCTGAAAAAAATGAAAAAGCTTTAATTTACATGTATTTATATGGGACCACACTATATGCACTATAATGTACCACGCTTTTTTCACATACTGTAATTTGGAATTCTTTCCACATTAGCATTTAAATCTCCTTCACAGCAGATAAGTTGCATAGCACTGTACTGAGTGAACGGACCATAATATATTTGTTCAGTACTTTACTGATGGACACTGATTGTTTCCAGTTTCTCTTTCTCTAGCTCCCTCCCTCTTCTTTATTTCCCCCCAGTAGCACTTTAAAGTTTCCTTCATCTAGGTCCTATGTATTTATTGAATTCACAGGGTCTTTAGCATGTTTTCTTTTTGCTATTTGAGCCATTTCTTCTTTACTCGCCAGAATTGGGATAAGTGATTTTGTTAGATATATATCTATATCTATACATACAATATGGCAAAAGGTGAATTAAGGACAAAAGCTAAATGGTTAGTATTTCAGAAAAATACTAAACAAGAAGTTCGGAATTTTACTCTGATCCAGATTTTTGAAAGTGAGAAAAGAAATTTTAAAAATCATGATATTTGTTATCTAGACTCTCCTGAGATTTCATTTTTCATCTTACTATTCACTTCGTCCTCCATTACTCTACAACTACACTGGCTTTGGCCAATTCTTGGAAAACCCAAGTTTCTTCTTGTCTTTTTGGACCTTTGCATTTACACTTTCTCCTACCTCAGAATAACTTCTCCCCCATGTTTCAGATTTTCCCTCAAATCTCAGTTTAAATGTCAACTCCTTACCAGACTTTCCTGGGTAAAGGAGGACCCTCCCTCCCCTTTCTCTTTCACTGCATTTCAGCACCTTCAGACTGCTCATCACAGTCTTTTAACATTTAACTCCTTTGTCTCAGACGTATATTGTAGATCCCCCAATACCCACCTAAGTACCTAGCATGGAATATGCTTCAATAAATACTTGAATAAAAAAAAAAAAAGAATTCAGGTAAAGTGAATTTAATTGCTGTAGAATTAACTTTTACTGAATGTATTTGCCAGGAACAGGTGTCAGTATATGTTACACTAAGGTTAGGCTTACATAGGTTCGGGATTCTGAAATCCTTTTAATCCCTTAAATCTTAATCCCCAAGTTTTAAATATAATTTAAAATTTCAGACCATTTCGCGAAATCTCCCACCAGTCCCCCCTTCCCACCATAAGGATCCATCCACCCGCTTACCCCTAACTTCTTCAGTTCCCCGCCCCTCCCAACAACCTGGCTGAACTGGGCAGTCCCGGCAGAGCCTTCCGGGACCCGGGGCGCATGTGCGGCACGGTGCGCACATGCGCAGTATTCGCGCAGCTGGCGTGGGTCCCACCCTAAGGCTGAGGTGGCCGCCACGGAGCTGGGGGCGGGGCCTGCGACACTATGGCTGAGGGCTGCGGGGAAGTAGTGGCGGTACCCACGGCCGGGGCTGCCAACGGCCTCAGCAATGGAGCAGGCGGGGTCCCGACGCAGACCAGCAACCCTCTGTCGCGGAAGCTGAATAAGATCCTGGAGACGCGGCTGGACAACGACAAGGTAACCGGAACTGGCAGGGCCTGGGGTCCCGCGTTGCCCGCGGGCTGAGCCTGGCCGGGGGCGGTGTCTGTTCGGCACCCACTCCCTCATCCCAGTGTCTCTCCGTCTCTCGGTGGAGGGGACTGCAAACCTGCGGGATCCGAAGTGGGACGGGTAAGAAGGGGGAGGCCGAGGAGACCCTGGAAAAGCGAAGAGGTGTCTTGGGTGTCACCCGCTATTGGGAAAACACTTCCTGGAAGGCTCTGGCTCCGGGAGGCAACGGTGGGGTCTCCTACCGGGGAGGTGTTCGTGGGTCCGAACAGGGGGAGAAGAGAGCCCAGGGCAGGGTTAGAAACCATGTAAGAGTAAATTACAAGACTGGGCAACGTGAATCGGGGTTAGGAGGAGCTGGAGAACCGGGGTAGGCATAATTGAGCATTTCCACCCACGGGTAAGAACAACTGAAATAATTTGCAGCGGGAAAGAACTGCTTGCTCAGGGCTCAGATGAAATACTGGGTGCTACTAGTTTTTGTTGTTAGCTAAGCTCCGCCTGTGACATGTGGGCTCATGCTGTTATTTCTTCACAAGATAAAACCGTCCACATCCTCACCCAAGTACCTCCCGAAACGCATCCTTCCAGCTTCTATTGTAGCTGTAGCTGGTTATCTTTTCTGTATCATTGAGTCTTTGGGTAAATTGGTCATGCCCTAAAGAAAAAATGTAAGTAGAAGTGAGAGAACTTAACAGATAAATTTGTAGGTAACTGAAAATAAGCTGTCAGTAAGAATTTGTGTGTAAGAAATGTAAGAAAGACGCGGCTCTGGGGCCACCACTTATCAGATATAACATCAAACTGAAGCATTATAATTTGAGTAAGCCCTTTAATTTCTCTAAGCTTATTTTTCATCATTTCTAAGTTGAGAATACTGCTGGTAACTTTTACCTCAGGGTTGTTGTGAGGATTCAACAAGAGAATCTGAAGTGCTCAGCGCAGTGCCCTACACTTACCATTTCTTATTAAATGTTAATTTTATCATACAGCTTATTGTTTAATGTGACTAATACTGACATTTATTATCTTATTTAATACAGCTGTGATATAGATAACATTATCTCCTTTTTACCCAAGAGAAAAGTAAGGTATTGAGAGAGTGTAACAAGGTTAAATCATATAACTGATAACTGCTGGAGCTGTAATTTGCACCTGTCTATGTGATTTTGTTCGTTCATCCTTTAGGGATTACTTCTTTGAGCCAGGCCTAGGACATTTCAAGGTTATAGTCAAAAGAAATGGCTTCATTTTTTGGTTTTTCTTTTTCTTTCTTTCTTTCTTTTTTCTTTTGTACATAAATCTTTGTAGTGTTTTCTTAAATATTAAATTGAATTTAAATAGCTTTACTATTTTTGTCAATCCAGCCAATATCGCAAAATAACATTTTAACTGAAACAGAAGGGTAAGGCTTTTAGAATATATGTTAGTTCAGGTGTAGGAATTTGTATTTGGAGTTAGAAATCCTGGGCTTGGTCTTCTCCCATCTCTCCTCTAATGCATATTTTCTCTGTAGGAAAACTCTCTCACTTTCATGGTTTTAAACAACAAAAAGGGTGATGATTCTCAAATTTATAACCCTGTTCTTGACATCTCTACTGAGCTCCAGATGCCTCTAGTTTGTTGCTTATATGACACTTCCAATGTCAATACCTCATCAACAGCATAAAAACTTAACATAGCCAGACTCTTGGTTTTTCTCCAAACTGTTTCTACTTTCCCCTCTTAGGAAAGAACATCACTTACCCAGACAAGCAAAAAAATATATATAATTTTTGATTCTTGTCATTTTTTTCACTTCTTGCATTGAATTCGTTAACAAATCCTACAGGCTTTACCTTGAAAAATATAGTTTTGGAGTATCTCCTTTTCATCTGCACTGCTGCTTGTTCTAAGTCACTATCAAATCTTTGCTTGGATTATTTTAGTTTCTTCCTATTTTCTTCCTTTCTTGCCCTGCCCCCATCTGCTTTCCTCACAAAGTTAGAATAAACTTTTGAACTTATAGAACACATTACATTACTCCTTTCCCTAAAGCCTTTAGTAGTGTCCCACAGCTTCAGTCATATGGCGTTTCTGCTGCTTTCATGTCTTTGTACTCACGGCTTTTTTTTTTTTTGGTCTGTGAATGGCTTTGTCTCCATATCTCCATGGATGCCTTTCCTGTTACTTAGGCCTCATTTCAGAAGTCACCTCAGAGAGGCCTTCCTCTCATTTCTCCTCCCAGTTATTCAGTTCCTAGCCTAGAGGCTACAGGTCGTTCGTACTTCTTATATATATCCTTCCAGAGATAGTTTATACATTCACCAGTAAGTATGTATGTATATAGTCCTCTTTCTTTTTTAACAGTTGGTATTATAACTGTTTCTATACTTTGCTATTTCACTTGCCGTGTCTTGAAGTTTGTATTATGTAAGTACATAAAGAATTTTCATCTTTGTTAAAATCGTTATGTCATAATTTCTTTAACCAATCCGCTTTAGGTGGACATTAAGGGTATTTCTAATCTTTACAATTCCAAACTATTCTGCAGTGAGTGGTCTTGTATGCATGCTGCACTGTACAAGTAAGTAGCTTATAGTATTTTGGAAATAAGTTTACTATTCAGTAATGCGAAGGTGGCCTGGTATTTTTTGATTATTTAATGGAAACATTTGAAAATGATTTCATTAAAATTTGACTTAAGATTAGGAAAACATGTGAAAATCAGTCCCAGTAATTGTCTTTTATCATCAATTGTGTAGGAGATGTTGGAAGCTCTCAAGGCACTTTCAACCTTTTTTGTTGAAAACAGTTTGCGGACTCGAAGAAATTTACGTGGAGATATTGAACGCAGAAGTTTAGCCATCAATGAAGAATTTGTCAGCATTTTCAAGGAGGTGAAGAAAGTACGTAAATTCTTTTCCTTTAACATTTATTGAGGACTGACTGTATGCCTAACTCTAAGTATTTTTATGAATTAGGTTGATATGTTTGCTGTTCATGTTCAAATAGAAAACTTAACTATTTATGCCAGAAGCATCCAGATCCTTCAGTTAGTGGGATTTCTGAATCTGTGACCTCCACTAATGCTGCTTCTTAGAACGTTCAAACATTTTTTCTAGGATACTCTCTTAGAAATTTTTGTTTTTTTTTAACAATAAGAAAAAAACAATTCTTTAAATGTTTTCCAGTAGAAGTTTTTCCTTACTGAATAAACCTCCTTTGGATAACTACTTCTCCATTGAAGATTAATTAGAATTGAATTACTTTAGTGCACCATAAATTATGAAATTTTCAGATTCATTAAGATCAGTTACTTTCAGCATAAGTAATATTTTTATCATACTTGAGTGAGCAGACTACTCACCATAGGGTAAAAATGAATTTTATTTATTATGTTGTTATATTTTACTTATGCAATATTTTGTTAATTTTATTAATAT